CTTCCCTTAATATATATTCAGCGTTTACTATAGGTTTGAGTATATAAGTGGACATTATACAGCCTATAAAGACTCTTTTGCCATCCTGCAGTAAACCTGTTTTGCCGTGTTCTGTTCACACTCTGTCTTCCTGACCTGTATGTGTCACATTCGTCTTAATGACCTGTTTATTCTCTTTAATGTTCAGGGGTACAGTTCTTTAATCCTACAATTCTATAATGTTCCGATATGTTACGGAAGCACTTCCTTCTATTTTTCCATTTGACATATAGTTTTTGACTTTATGCTGTTCTTAGAATTTTTTTTTTTTACTGTGTGGCCAGTTTGATTATATCTGTATTGCTGAAAAGAATTACTTGGTCACAAATGAACAAACAGATATTGCCTGCTATTCATAAACAAATGACTGCACATAGTCTTTGTAACAGGAAGGCTAGTGTTTGAAATCCATAGCCTGTAGGCAATTTGTAAGGTCCCCATAGTGCCCCTTAGTATTTGACTATTGTATTGCCCTAGGCTTACTAATCCTGTGCTATTACAGCAACTAAAATAGATCCTGCCTTTTGCTGCGTAGGAACCAATCAATCACTTGCCCTAAGAAGCAACATTGTATCTTTTTGTACCAGTGCAATGTCATTTGAAATTTTGTAGCATGATGTCTTAAGGATTGCAAAGCCCGTAGGGTCAACTAATCAAAACTGAATCTCAGCAGAAGTAATGGGACTACATCCCCCATCATTCTTTCTCCTGATTGCACTGACTTGAGATGAAGTATGGTATATTGACACATCTAGAGAGCCCCAGGTTAGGGTTAGCAGATGCTGTATGGAAGAATATAAATACAGTTCAGCAGACCTTTTACTATTTTTATACTTGCATGCAAGAGAGAGAGTTTGTTCCATGGCCAGCTCATTGTTACATTCCGTGGTGCTGCCTTTTGATCTTTGTCTCAGCTTCTCTGTGCAGTAGCAGCATACAAACACAAGACCACAGAATAAATGTATTTCTCCTTCATGAATGTGCTACTTCTTTTTGGTAATCAGAACTAATGGTTGCTTTGAATCAAACTGCCTTACTTCCTTTAAACAGTATATGAATTCCTGAAGCAATTCAGATTGCAAACTTCCTGTGGCATTTTTCATCAGTAAACTGCCAGATCAGCTGCTTTGAAAATGGGATTCTTGTATTTTGCTGTTTCGTTTAAATAAAATTAACCTGCACCTTACTGTAGATCCAATCTTGCTTTGTGTTATTTTGCTGTGGGAATAACTGTGGAAATCAAAAATCATTTGTATTTCTGATATTTCTAGGAGCATTGTGGTAGGAAACCTCTGTTATTTATTCACTGTACAGTGGCATTTATTTTTTGGGAGTGCATTGCTTACCCTGAAGGAGGCAGCCTGGTGGATATGTGTTTGTGAATGTGTTTTACTTATTTAGGAGGGTGGGATTCAATTTGCACTCCAGTGGAAAAACATGTGAACTGAAATGTGATATAAAATATATCTAAGTAGTAAGGAATTGAATGTTGGTCATGAAAGTAGAATAATTGGCGCCTCAAAAAGTGTATGTGTGTGTGTGTGTGTGTGTGTGTGTGTGTGAGAGAGAGAGAGAGAGAGAGAGAGAGAGAGAGAGAGAGAGAAGGGGAGGGAGGGGGAGGGACTTGAAAACTGCTATTCTGTATAGCAGTATTATGCAGTTTTAGAAGATAGTAAAAGTCTTTCTTGATTTTTGAATCATATAGTATCAGAACAAGGAAATAAATGGGGATTAATTTTGGATTGGGCATGTTATATTACCGTATTTTTCAGAGTATAAGACGCACCTACCTTTTTTGTTTTTTAATAAAAAGGTTTTTTTTATTTTTTTAGACAAAAATAACAAACATACAATGTATTTTCTTTGAACAGAGTATTTGGCCAGTTCACAATTTAAACAGTGTTTAGTCATTTCAATTAAATTTACAATTTCTATATTTCCTTTTTGCCATATTTATTCCTCATCTATTTTTTAAAAAAAACCAATATTACCCTTTATCCTCATCTCTAATCTTAATCAAATTCAATTTTTCTCTTCTATATTATACCCCTTCCCATTGTCATCTATTTTTATATCCATCCTCACATTGGTTAATTATGTAATATTACAATTGTTTAATACAAATTCAACATTTTTATATAAATCAATTAGTTATATAAGTATCTTTTTTTGTATATTAATCAATATGAACATGAATATTCCAATTATTTCCATACAATCCAATTTCTTACGAATCAATTAATTATATTTATCAATAATAATAAACCAAATAATTTCCCCCATATATTTCTCCAAACCACAACTTAACCATTTCTGCTTTCAACACAATATAAAATTAATAGTATCTCAATTATTACAATTCCCTAGTTAAATAAAGCTTTCCCTTATGTTACTCATTTTCACATCTTAAACTCTCCCAATAACCCAAATAGTTTTGCCCATATGATCCTCTAAATCACAACTTAATCATTTCTACTTTCATCACAATATAAAATTAAAAATATTTCAATCGTTACAATTTCCCAAATTAAATTTAAAAATGTTCTAGCTGTTATCCAAGCTACAACTTAATCCTTTTTACTTTCACCACCATATACCATTAAAGGTATTTCAATTGTTAGTTTATACTTATTCATATTTCTAAAAAAAATAAAAACTTATCATTGTCTAGATTTCAAAAATACAAAGACAAATATTCCAATTATTATTCATTTCATTTTTACAATCATGATTTCCCATTTATTTCTTACTACTATCCATATTTTACTTCTAAATATGTATAACATCTTTCTCTTTCATTTCTTTTTCTCCCTTCCCATTTTTATTTTTGCCTTTTTCTTTCTCCCTTTTTTCTTTTGCGTTTTAAAATCTTGAACTCTCCTCTTTTGCCCTAAATTTCCCATTGTTTTCACCTACCATTTTTAGTGAGGAAAAAGAAGAAAAAGAAATCTCCCTCTGCCTAATTTTGCCTCGTTGCAGCAAACAGCCTGCTTTACTTTCAGTTTCATTTTCAGCATAGCTTGATTAGCACAGGGAAAAAAAATCTGGTCCAGCAATTTACCTCTTTGCAGCAAGCAGCAGAGCCCTGCTGGGAAGCTGATCTAATCAACTTGTACCAATTAGCCTATGCTGAAGCTGAAAGGAGCTGTTTTTTCTTGCTGTTTGCTTGCAAGGAGGTAACTCCTGTGAGACACAGGCCAAAGGGTGGGGGCCAGTGGGTGGGTGGGGCTACATTCGGTGTATAAGATGCACCTAAAGTTTCACCTCCTTTTAGGGGGGAAAAAGGTGTGTCTTATACTCTGAAAAATACGGTATATTTCATATAATATTGGTGAATACATTAGATTTGCTTGTGATCTGGCCTGGAAATAGAACAGATGTAACCCTTTAATATACACTAATGTCTACTTGTTAGCCCTTTGAGGTAATCCAGATAAGAAATACCAAGATCGAGTTTGGTCTACGAGTTAAGGCATCAGGCTAGAAACCAGGAGACTTTAAGTTCTAGGCATGCCTTTACTAGGTGACTTTGGAACAGCCTGTTTCTTAACCGAGGGAGCCAGCAATGTCTGAAAGAGATTTTCCATGGTCGTGTGGCCAGCATGACTGTACACTGAGGTGCACAGAACAATGTCACCTCCCACTGAAGTGATACCTATTTATCTACTCAATTTTGCATGCTTTAAAACTGCTAGATGCTAGGTTGAAGAGAAGTGTTATAACAGTTAGGTTGGCAGTAACTAATTCTTGGTTTGCTTTCAGCTGAGAGAATAATCAGTTTGTTTCTTTATAGCTTAAGCTATGGTGTCCCAAACTGGAAGACCTTTTCTCTTGAACAAGGATCGTGTATACATTTATATATATAAAAAAGAAATTTTATGATAAAGTTGTGACAATATTTTGTCATAAATTTTCATTATCTTTTGCATGAAATGGCCTGCCTGATGCAGCAACTTTAGATTATTATTATCATTTTTGCCAAGTTTTTCTCCCACCTACCCCAACTCTTACAACTGTTAGCTAAAGATTATGTAGGCTTGGAATTATGAGAATTAAAGTCATCACAACAGAAGGACATCAGGTTGAGTGAGGCTATTCTAGACAGTATTGTATCTGAAATACTTTAGATGTTGCCACATAAATCTGTATAAATATTTTACCCCCATGGCCAAAAAGATAAAAAAAATAATCCATTGGCATAGGCCCTAAAAGCTCACAGGACAATTGTTTCTGCTGGTCAGAGATGGTTATGCTGGAAGCTCGCCTTTATTTAAAAGTTTCTTGTCAATATTGTTTTTTTGCTGTTGAGATAAATGATGATTGAGTATTTGTGTAATATCCTGTCATGGGATAATTCTCATGGTTGCTATGATGGGAATGGGGCATGGCTCTGTTCTGAGAAGAGTACAATACTACTTTCTGTTCCCTGAGTGTTCACTTTCTGGAAAACTGCAGTTCACAAGGTCATCAATTTGCCGGTCTTTAACTTCCTCCCTGCGTGTCATTCAATGTTTCTTCACTGAGTGATAAACCTTTTGATTTTCCATATTGACAAACCCAAACAAAACCCTGATGATATTTCTGTGTAAAGGTCATTATCCTGTAAGACCTGCCAGTATTTAATCATATTCTTTCTTACATTAAAGTTTTATTCTTTTATTTTCAAAAGCTCAGTGGCTAGCAGGTTTTTTTTTTTTTTTGTTATGACTTCACATAAACTAGGAAGGAGCTAATTTGATATGTTTGGGGTAAAAATAATGAATACCAAGGGAACTACAGATTTTTTTTTTTATGGTTCTTGTAGATTGTTTGTCTATTCATGTCTTGATTACAGAATGATATTTTACCAACATTTTTCCTCCCTTCCCTGATAACTGCATCAATGTTTGTATTTGAAAACTTCAGTGTGTAAAACAATACACTGGGAGAAAAGTCATATTGTGGTTTTGTTTCTCCTGTAGGAAGGATCAAAATGTTCTTTCTCCGGTCAATTGCTGGAATCTCCTCTTAAATCAGGTGAAGAGAGAGAGCAGGGACCACACTACTTTGAGTGACATCTATCTGAACAATATAATCCCTCGGTTTGTTCAAGTCAGTGAAGACTCTGGACGACTTTTCAAAAAGGTAACAATTTTATTGTGATAATGCGCTTCTTTATGGCTCCAGACATGGTTGTGGCAAATGTAGATGGGCACCTGGCCACTATTGTTTCTTGCCTAGTTGTGTTTAATGCATAACTTGGTTCAAAAGGCAGCTGCCTGGCTGCTGATCGGAGCATGCAGGTTGGAACATGTCACTCTCATGTCATGTTATTTTCATTTAGCTGCCAATTTGCTTCTGGCTCAATTTATTGTGTTGATTTGAAGAATGTTAAACTCATAGTGTGGCAGGGTTAGGTATTTAAAAAGTTCTATCTTTTAACATGGCGTCTGCTCTTCCTTTTCTCTATCTGTATAACCAGAGGAATGTCTTTGGAGGAATGTCTTTCTATCCTGGCATCAAGGTTGCGGAATAATTTCCTAAGGAAGGTCCATTGGCTCTTTCTGTGCTTGCTATTCAGTAGCTGGTGGAAACATATTTTTTCAGAGAAGCATTAGAAGGATGTTTTCACTGTTCTGAGCTAATTATTAGTAATCTGAGCTATTCATAATTGTTTAACGGAACAGCTACAATTTTGAGCGTGTTGTTGCTGATTTAGCAAGTTGCATTACTTGTTTTCTTTTAATGAGACCTTTCATTCCCTCTTTATTCTTTTATGCTTTAATTTCATTTTTTTACTTAATAAAAACAGATCAATGAAGAATTGAACATACTCAGTTGTGTTCAGATCTAAAGTAACCCTGTTTATATATAAGCAAAACAGTTCATTTTTGCTATGATCAGCAGTAGCCTTAACAAATGTAGGGCCAGCAACAACATCTGACAGAGGGTGCTTTTCGAAGAATCTATTTAGGAGAATAAGATGCTATTTTAAAATATGATTCTATTAGACATTGAAGGAAGATTCAAAGGAGGCTGCAATCTACTATGTTTATCTTGAGAATAGGTCTCTTGGTTTACAAGTAAATGTGCAGTAACTGATGGTTGAGTGTTTTTAAAATCTTCTTTACTAAAATTGTCAGTTTTTCTGGGCCCAGCTGGCCAATGTCAGAGTTCAGTAAAACCCAGAAGGATCACAGTACCTTAATTTGTTAATCTGTAGTAGTGCCTGCCCTCTGGAATGAAGTCCCTCTTCCAGATCTGGAGGGTTCTTCTTTGGAAGAGTTGTAAAAGCTTGGCTCTTCATCTAGGCCTTGGGAGAGGGAGACCTCTCACTTCATCATGCTTGTTATTTTTTATCTTTTATTTCTTTCTGTTATATTTATTTTACTGTAATTTGTTTTGTATTTGTGAGCCTCCCAGAATCATTGAGAGTCAAGTGGCATACAAGTTTAATAAATTAAATTAAAGTAAAGTAAAATGATCTGTTGTACTAAGATAGGGCTACTCTTTGGCTCAGGGCTCTGACACTGGCCTGTTGGAACTTTTTTAAAAAGTGCATCATGATAGCAACTGCCTAATTTAGTGCCTCTCAACATAATTTAAATTTTTTTCAGAAAGAAAAATGAGTATAGCTCTGCTTTAAAAAAAGGAAAGAAAGAAAAGCATATGGTAGAGTGAATGGTAAAAAAATGAAATTGCTATAAAAACATAAAAGTACAGTAACTTATCATGGGGATTTAAAATAGGTTTGCTACCTGCATTAAGTTTTAGAATAGCTACACTGTAATTTTAAATATAAGTATAAATATTCCATTATTTATTTTCTACCCAAATAATAAATTTTCTTTCTCTCTTCCCCCTCCCTGCTCAAATATGCCTAGGAAGGAGCTGTTACTTGTCAGGAAACAAAAAGCGTGATTTTAGTATCTAAGTAACAACACTGCCAACTTGGTCAAATGCCAAGACAGCTTCATATATTAACTCGCTTTCGGCTTGTTGTGTGTCACTAGTCTATAGCTCTTTGTATCAGTCCCTGCTGGGGAATCTTTCTTCAAGTGACATGTGATATGTGAAATGGAAATACTATGTGACGGTACCCAGAACCTCTCCTGATTGTCTTCTTTGCTGGAAACCTCCTTTAGTGTTACGATCAATCTGAAAAGTGTGAACTAGCACAAGGCAACTGATAAAGGCCCAGTATCAAGGCTCATAAGTGGCAGATTTGTTAACAAGCAAGTAGCTAACCTGTTTAACTACTGAACAAATCATAAAATGAAGCAACACTAGAGACACTGGAGACCTAGGTGTTATGTAGGAAACCTGTCTGACTTTGACCTAGTCATTTTCTTTTAGCCCTAGACTGGAAAGTTGAAAAGCGTCTATCTACTAACCTCACTGGTACAGCATAGCAGGATTATGATCCATAAACTTTAGTGAAGGAATATTTATCCTGCAGTGGATTGATTTGGACTGAAGATAGTAAAAACAAACATTACCTGTGTAAAAATAGTTATAAAATTAGAAGAAAGCTCTTTGAAGCAACTCTGTCTACCTACATCATACCTAGTTGATATACAATTCTTTTACAAGTGATCCAACAATTAAGAAGATTCTAATTTCATCACTTTATTTGCTTCTTTGCTAATGATTTCCATTTAAAACATATTACTAGTGTAATTTTATAAAATAAGAAATCTGTTGTTGCAGTGAAAATTATTGAAATTTCCCCTGGAGTTTGGGCTGCAAATTAACATTGGTTACTTGTGTAAGGATAAATTAGCACTTGCCAATTAAATAATAACTTCTTTCAACACTGTAACCATCTGTACTTTAATTTGAGGAATACAGACATGCAAGAACATATGGAAGCAGCCCTTTGCATACATGGGGGTTCTGTTCTAATGTAAAATCCAGAATAAAGAAAACGTGAATAATGAGTTATTGGTTCTTTAAAAATTGGGATGGGGAGGTTCATTCAGCTCAGTTGCAAGACTCTGTGTATAATGGGCAATAGGAATAGTCTTGAGGAACAAGACGAAGAACTGTAACCAAATAAATTATCTGATAAAAGACAAATGAGGCTGGTACAAAAACATAATTTGAGTAACTATCTCAGACATGACCCTACCTAGTTCTCATGATGATAAAAGTAGGGAAGGGGAAACCTTGGGGGCCAGGTTATTTGAAGGACTGTCTTTTTCCCAGTTACATCTACTCAACCCACCAAAGCAGGAGGTAGATATGCTAAAGATCCCCTCTCTTTAAGGAAGTCCATTTATCAGGACTAAGAGGAAGAAACTTCTCTGTGGTGGCTCCCTTCCTGTGGAACATCATTCCCACAGAGATAAGATTGGTCCCCACTTTGTGTTTTGGATAAAACAAGGCAACACTGCCAAGAAAACAGCATGAATACAATCACCAGAAACTGAGCTTGACTCTAGGGTGTCTTTAGATCTTTTATGCATGAAGTCCTGCTCTGCTGAATGAAATATGCAATTGATCATTAATTTGGAGAACCTTTTCTTTGTCAAGCTTTACAAGAAAACCTTAAGATATATTTTTATTCCTTAGCCTTCTCACATAGTGCTTAATTTGCTGTTGGATTTTAGTGGCTGATGCCATGTATCTTTTATGTATTTTAATTGTAGGTTTTTTGATTCATTGATAGTATTAGTTTCTGATGCTTGTTCATGATGTCATGTAGTTTTATAATAATACTGTCTTGTTTGGATAGTTTCCAATTGCATGAATTTTTGTATCTGATTTAGATGCAGATATGTTAAACAGAATGTAGGGAACTGAAATTGATTTGTTCATGAAGGATAGTCCTTTTCTATTAATCTTGTCCTTAGGGGGAGATATATGAAATCTCATGTTGCACAAATTAAAGTCACTTTTGCATGTGCATTTGCAATAACCTAGTCTATCTGTGCTGAATGAAAAAAATCCAAACTACTAGAAAATATTTGGGTAAAGCTTTGAATATTTTGAGCTGTGGTGGCGCAGTGGTTAGAATGCAGTATTGTGGGCTAATTTTGCTGACTGCTGGCTGTGTACATTTCAGCAGTTCAATTCTCACAGGCTCAAGGTTGACTCAGCCTTCCATCCTTTTGAGGTCAGTAAAATGAGGACCCAGGTTTTTGGAAGCAATGTGCTGACTCTGTAAACCACTTAGACAGGGCTGTAAAGCCCTACAAAGCAGTATATAAGTCTAAGTGCTATTGCTACTGCTGTACAGTAATTGGCCTTTCATCTTCTGTTTTCATCCATGTTTTATCCTAAATAAGCTTTAAAGCTATGTTGCCTAAGAGCATTATAAAGGTGTTTATAACATTGCTAAATAACTTCTCAGAGCTAGAAAGAGAATAACTGTTTTTTTTTTTTGTTTCCTTGTAGTTCTTTTCTTATTTATTTATTTAGGACAATTTAGAGGTCATTCAACTTTATATCACTCTGAACTGCTTACATTTAAAAAGTAGGGACAATAAAAATAAAGAGACAATGTAAGCATCTAGAAGTAAACTTTATTGCCTCTGTGCTGTGCTTCGTTTACAAGAAAATTTATGAGAGTTTGCATCTGGAGGATAAATGCATGTATAATGTAGAGCTTGCATCTAATAAGCACAAACATTAATAAGTGAAAGATACTTAATGTACATTTATTCAAATCAGTGTTAATAAACAAAAAGCATGAATAAGTGTTTAAAACAGGTGCCTAGAAAAGCCTGAGAAAAGAAGTTTACAATTATGCCTGGTTTGCAAGTTTCAAAAGTTCATTTTGATTCAGATCACACCAAAATGTTTAGTGAATTGTTAATACTAGATGTGAAGCATGATCATGACAAACTGAGAAGCTCAAGAGATGAACTGCTACTGTGCCAGATGAAGCAACTCCCTTCCAAGGATAGTTCTAAGACATGCCTGTCCCTATAATCTGTCCTTCCAGCTATATGGGTCTGTGAGTGTGATAAAGTCTGTATGAGACACAACTTGTGCCTTAGCCCTTATCGCAGAGAAGGAAAGATGCATCCTGTCACGGTTATTGACAGTTACTGAACCCTGACATAGTTATGGATTCCATGAGGAAAGGGGGCTGCCTCTTGATTCTTTCAACAGTGCGTCAAAGAATAGTTTAAATTTTC